ACCCTAACCCTAACCCTTACCTTAACCCTAAACCTTAGCCTAATCCTAAGCCTTAGCCTAACCCTAACCTTAACTTTAACCCTAACACTAATCTACCTACCTACCTACCTAACTAGCTAACTAACTTTCTACCTACCTACTTACTTAACTAACTACCTACCTACCTACTGACAGACCCACCCATCCTAAGCCTAATCCTGACACTAACGCTAACCCTAAGCCTAAACCTAACCCTAACCCTAAACTAGCTACCTACCTACATACTCTAACCTTAACCCTAACCTTAACCCTAACCTTAACCCTAACCTTAACCCTAACCTTAACCTTAACCTTAACCCTAACCTTAACCCTAACCTTAACCCTAACCTTAACCCTAACCTTAACCCTAACCTTAACCCTAACCTTAACCCTAACCTTAACCCTAACCTTAACCCTAACCTTAACCCTAACCTTAACCCTAACCTTAACCCTAACCTTAACCCTAACCTTAACCCTAACCTTAACCCTAACCTTAACCCTAACCTTAACCCTAACCTTAACCCTAACCTTAACCCTAACCTTAACCCTAACCTTAACCCTAACCTTAACCCTAACCTTAACCCTAACCTTAACCCTAACCTTAACCCTAACCTTAACCCTAACCTTAACCCTAACCTTAACCCTAACCTTAACCCTAACCTTAACCCTAACCTTAACCCTAACCTTAACCCTAACCTTAACCCTAACCTTAACCCTAACCTTAACCCTAACCTTAACCCTAACCTTAACCCTAACCTTAACCCTAACCTTAACCCTAACCTTAACCCTAACCTTAACCCTAACCTTAACCCTAACCTTAACCCTAACCTTAACCCTAACCTTAACCCTAACCTTAACCCTAACCTTAACCCTAACCTTAACCCTAACCTTAACCCTAACCTTAACCCTAACCTTAACCCTAACCTTAACCCTAACCTTAACCCTAACCTTAACCCTAACCTTAACCCTAACCTTAACCCTAACCTTAACCCTAACCTTAACCCTAACCTTAACCCTAACCTTAACCCTAACCTTAACCCTAACCTTAACCCTAACCTTAACCCTAACCTTAACCCTAACCTTAACCCTAACCTTAACCCTAACCTTAACCCTAACCTTAACCCTAACCTTAACCCTAACCTTAACCCTAACCTTAACCCTAACCTTAACCCTAACCTTAACCCTAACCTTAACCCTAACCTTAACCCTAACCTTAACCCTAACCTTAACCCTAACCTTAACCCTAACCTTAACCCTAACCTTAACCCTAACCTTAACCCTAACCTTAACCCTAACCTTAACCCTAACCTTAACCCTAACCTTAACCCTAACCTTAACCCTAACCTTAACCCTAACCTTAACCCTAACCTTAACCCTAACCTTAACCCTAACCTTAACCCTAACCTTAACCCTAACCTTAACCCTAACCTTAACCCTAACCTTAACCCTAACCTTAACCCTAACCTTAACCCTAACCTTAACCCTAACCTTAACCCTAACCTTAACCCTAACCTTAACCCTAACCTTAACCCTAACCTTAACCCTAACCTTAACCCTAACCTTAACCCTAACCTTAACCCTAACCTTAACCCTAACCTTAACCCTAACCTTAACCCTAACCTTAACCCTAACCTTAACCCTAACCTTAACCCTAACCTTAACCCTAACCTTAACCCTAACCTTAACCCTAACCTTAACCCTAACCTTAACCCTAACCTTAACCCTAACCTTAACCCTAACCTTAACCCTAACCTTAACCCTAACCTTAACCCTAACCTTAACCCTAACCTTAACCCTAACCTTAACCCTAACCTTAACCCTAACCTTAACCCTAACCTTAACCCTAACCTTAACCCTAACCTTAACCCTAACCTTAACCCTAACCTTAACCCTAACCTTAACCCTAACCTTAACCCTAACCTTAACCCTAACCTTAACCCTAACCTTAACCCTAACCTTAACCCTAACCTTAACCCTAACCTTAACCCTAACCTTAACCCTAACCTTAACCCTAACCTTAACCCTAACCTTAACCCTAACCTTAACCCTAACCTTAACCCTAACCTTAACCCTAACCTTAACCCTAACCCTAACCTACCAAACTACCGACATATCGACCTATCGAGCTACCTAGCTACCTATCGACCGACCCACCCAGCCTAACCCTAAGCCTAATCCTAACGGTAACCCCAACCATTACCTAACCCTAACCATAACCCTAACCTACCTACCTACATACCCCAATTCTTACCCTAACCCTAACTCTTACCCTAATCCTAAACCTTAGCCTAACCCTAAACTTAACCCTAACCCCAACCCTAACCTACCTACCTACCTACCTAACTAACTATCTACCTACCTACCTACATAACTACCTACCTACCTATCGACCTTCCTACCTACCTAGCTACCTACCTAACTACCTAGAAGCTTACAAACCTACTTACATAAGTACCCAAACCCTAACCCTTACCCTAACCCTAACCCTTACCCTAACCCTAAGCCTAAGCCTAACCCAAACCCTAACCTACCTACCTACCTACCTACCTGCTACCGACCTATCGACTTATCGACATACCTACCTACCTACCGACTGACCCACCCAGCCAAACCGTAACCCTTAACCTAACCCAAACCCCAACCCATACCTAACCCAACCCTAACCCTAACCTACCTAAAAACCTACCCTAAACCTAACCCTTACCCTAACCCTACCCCTTTCCCTAACCCTAACCCTAACAATAGCCTGACCCTAAACTTAACCCTAACCCTAACCCTAACCTACCGACATACCTACCTATCTAAATAATTATCTTCCTACCTACCTACGTAACTACCTACCTATCGACCTACCTACCTAGCTACCTACGTACCTACCAACCTACCTACCTACGTACCTACCACCTTACCTACCTACCTACCTACCTACCTACCAGCTTACCTACCTACTTACCTACCTACCTGCCCTAACCCTTACCCTAATTCTAAACCTTACCCTAAGCCTAACCCTTGCCTTAATCCTATCCCTGACCTAGCTACCTACCTACCTACCTACCTACCTACCTACCAGTTTACCTACCTACTTACCTACCTACCTACCCTAACCTTAACCCTTACCCTAACCTTAACCCTAAGCCTTACCCTAACCCTAACCCTAACCTACCCCTAACCCTAACCTACCTACCTACTTACCTACCTGCTACCGACCTATCGACCTACCTAACGATCGACCCACCCAGCCTAACACTAACTTTAACACTATCCCTATCCTTAACACTAAGCCTAACCCTAACCTTAACACTATTCCTAAATCTAACCCTAACCCTTACCCTAACCCTAACCCTATTTTAGCTACCTACCTACCTACCTAACTACCTACCTACCAGCTAACCTACCTACTTACCTACCTACCTACCCTAACCCTAACCCTTACCCTAAACCTAAGCCTAACCCTAAGCCTAACCCTAAGCCTAAGCCTAACCCTAACCCTAACCCTAAACCTAAACCTAACCCTAACCCTACCCCTAACCCTTACCTATCTTCATACCTACCTACCTACCTACTACCTACCTACTAACCTACCTACCTACCTTCCTACCTACCTACCTAGCTACCTACATAACTACCTACCTACCAACCAGCTTACCTACCTACTTACCTACCTACCTATCCTAATCCTTACCCAAACCCTAACCCTAAGACGAACCCTAACCTTAACCCTAACTCTTACCCTAACCCTAACCCTAACCTAGCTACCTACCTACCTAGTTACCTACCTACCTACCAGCTTACCTACCTACTTACCTACCTACATACCTACCCAAACCCTAACCCTTACCCTATACCTAACCCTAACCCTAACCCTAACCTTAACCATAACCCTAACTCTAACCCTAACCCGTACCTAGCTACCTACCTACATACCTACCTACCTATCTACCTACCTACCTACCATAACCCTAACCCTAACCCTAACCCTAACCCTAACCCGTTGTTGTTTTTTAAAACTTTTACCACACATAGAAGTTTGACATATGCTATAGAAATATCTTTATTATCAAAATTATTTTTTCTCTGGCTAAAGTTTCATCTATAACTACTTTTATGTCTTAAAAGTAGTGCTATTTATTTTTATAACACTTTCACATCTGTCAAGTTTTCATGATTAAAATCAACTAGTGGTGACTCCGCTTTGCAATTCGTCAGTAAAATACGATTTGAAATGTTTTAAACGAATAATTAGGGTCTAGATTTCCTTGATATGTCCGAATGGCAACTCCCACTTTCTATATTCCCAAAAAGAAAATAAAACATGGATTCATGTGTATTTTAAAATTACTACGTCACATCTATAAAAAGCATGAAAGGTTAAATCTCACTGTCGTATGGAACACGGTGAATAGTGTTGGTAATAAATTTAGCAGCTTAAAGCTGCATTCTTAAATTAGAAAATAAAAACATTATTTCGCAGAGTTGCAAAGCAATTTAGAGTATAATAATTTATATCTAACTAAGAATTTATTTCAATTGAAAAATCGAATTTAAAAAAAACAGTATAGCTAATTCATTTTTTATTATTATAATGATTTTAACCTTCGGCGGCTATCAATGGAGGACATTGTTCAAGCTGTGTAAGGAATTGAAGAACAGGGTATGTGAAAACTTGGCAAAGAAAGACAGGACGATAACAGAAGAATATTTAGACAGATGGATTTTTTTGGAATATATCCTGAGACAAATTCGACAAGTCAAGAAATTAAATGTTTTAAAAACGAGAAAATGTTAACACAGTTAACAGTTTATTAGTAAGATTGCTTTAAATACGACACAAATCCTTAATGTGTATTTCAACTAGAACAACAATGAATAGAAACGCTGACACCAATAACATCTGCGAACAATGTATGATATATTCTGATCACGGGCTACACAGAGAAGACAGGAATGGAAATACAGCGTTGGTGTACGTTGTTAGGTCTGTACATTTTGATTGTCTGAGATCTCTGCTGTCCGGTGTCCAGATTGATGTCAACAAAGTAAATAATGTGTCGGAAACTCCCCTTATGTACGGGGCACAACACGGTAATCTCGAATGTGTCCAAGTTCTTGTGTCAGCCGGTGCACACGTTGAGGTCACAGATGCGAATGGATCTACAGCTTTGATGTACGCTTCAATTCGTGGACATTCGGAATGTGTTCAATATTTAGTGGAGATCGGTGCAGAAGCAAATGTTAAAAACAAGTATGGGCACACTCCCTTGATATTGGATTGCAGCCAGGGTAATCTCGACTGTGTTCTCCCTCTCATAAGACATGGGGCTGACGTCAACGCAGTTGACAGTAGACGTGAGACGCCTCTGATGAAGGCTGCCAAAAATGGACACGCCCAGGTCGCAAATACTCTACTGGATGTGGGAGCTGACATCAATGCCAGAGACAACATTGGTAACACAGCGATTTGTCTAGCCGCCTCATGCGGTAGTATAGGGTGCGTGGAAAAGCTGGTGCAACTTAATGCTGATGTCAATGCTAGAAACAATGAAGGTAACACACCACTCATGATAGCTGCACTAAATAAACATGTAGATTGTATAGACGTCTTAATGAGTCATGGGGCTTTCGTAAATGCAACATCTTTAATGGGTCTAACGGCGCTACATATAACATCAATCAAAGGAATTGTCATTAGCACAGAGGTTATTCTGAGGAGCAACCCTTGCATTGATGCTAAAGATGATAAAGGAAACACTCCATTGATATATGCTTCGTCCAAGGGACATCATCACTGTCTCAATGCAATAATCTCATCCGGTGCAGACGTCAACATACAGAACGCTAATCAAGACTCGGCCCTGAGCTTGGCTGTGTTGAATGGTAGCACGGAATGTGTTGAGCTTCTCATTGATGCCAAGGCTGATGTTAACATACAGAATGCTAATCAAGACTCAGCCCTGAGCTTGGCTATGTTGAATGGTTGCACAGAACGTGTTAAGCTTCTTCTTGATGCCAAGGCTTATGTTAAGCAGTTTCACGACAATGGTAACTCGGTGCTTCACCTGGCCTGCATGACCTCTGTTACGCACTGACTTGTATTGGGAGAAATTAATCTCCTATTTTAATTTTAAATTGGCTCGTTGTAAACAGTGCCTAACAAAGGACGATACCATAGAATCAAAAGTATTAAAGATACGACACAAAACAGTTTCTAGTTACAATTAATAAGATTTATTAAGTCTTAAGATAATTACAACAGAAAAGAAAATATAATTACAATCTTCAACTTACAGTATGGTAGATCTTGTACCGGTACACAGTTAACACAGTTAGAATAATGTTCCAATAAATAATGCGAAATAAAGACATATGAGCACACAAATACACAAAGAATAAAACACGCCTCGTAATGTTAAGAAAATCTATCTGAAATCTCCGTTCCTCCATATCTGTCAATCCTTTATATATATGTTGCGTAAGACGCTTCCAGCAGGACCTATGACGTGTTGTTTACATATCTCGGGTTAAGGAGTACATTCCAGAAGATACCCGGAAACATTCTACCCCATGCGTAATTGGAAGCCGATTGTAAACAAGCTACATCAAAGAGATTTAACCACGACCACAACAGACGTTACTGTTTGCTAGGAATAGTTTTTCTGATGTGAGTTAAATTTCTTTGAGAAATAACAGATAGGGTGATCTACATTGTGGTCATCTTCTTGAAAAAGAACTGCACCAATGCCAACGTCACTTGCATCTACAGCTAATTTAAACTGTTTGTTAAAGTCTGGTGCAATGAGAACAGGAGCATTATCAAGTATATTTTTAATGTTTTCGAATGCTTCCTGACAAGCATCTGACCAATGAAATTTTGCATTTTTCTTTAACATATTACTTAAAGGAGAAGCAATAACTGAGAAATTTTTGCAAAATTTTCTATATTAACCTGCCATTCCCAAAAATCTCATTAACTGTTTTCTAGTAGTGGGTGGTGGAAGTGATACAATAGCATTTATCTTAGCTTGAACAGGCTTTACATGACCTTGACCCACTATGTGACCTAAATATTCCACAGTTGCATGACAAAATTCACATTTATTTAAATTTACAGTTACATTTGCCTGCAAAAATTTTTTAAACAGAGATCTTAATTGGTTTACATGAGTTGAAAAATCTTGGCTGTAAATAATTACATCATCAATATAGGCGCTGCAATTTTCCTGGTCAGCAATAATGTTATTTACAAGACGTTGGAATGTAGCCGGGGCATTTTTCATTACAAACGGCATTACTTTATATTGGTATAAACCATCTGGAGTACAAAAAGCAGAGATTTCTTTTGCTCTGTAAGATAGAGGAACCTGCCAATAACCTGATAGTAAGTCTATCTTGGTTACATATTTGGCATCACCTATTCTATCTAAAAGTCGTCTATCCTTGGAATCGGAAAGGAATCAGTCTTGGTAAATGCATTCACTTTCCTGAAGTCAGTACAAAACCTATAACTTTTGTCAGGCTTTGGGACTAAAATACATGGTGAACTCCAGTTACTAGAGCTTGGTTCAATTATATCATTTTCAAGCATGTATTTTATTTCAGACCGGATTATTTCAAGTTTTTTCGGATTGACCCTATAGGGGTTTTGTTTGACTGGAACTGCATTGCCAATATCAACATCGTGTACAGCAAAGTTGGTTTTATTAGGCACATAAGGAAAGAGTAAAACAAAATCTGCAATAACAGACTTAACAACATCCTTCTCTGACAATCACAAATGTCCTAGTTTCTTATCTAAGTTGGCCAGTATTTCTGAATTTTTAAGTTTGTAATTACCAACTTTTTCTGGGACACTTTTAAAGGTTTCAGTAGCATTTTCTTTAAGTACTAAAGCTACAGTTGAAATTGTGTTAACATTAGTTTCTAAGGATGGACAATGATCATCACATTTTCTATCAACATATTCTTTTAACATGTTAATGTGACATAACTGTTTCTTTCTTTTACGATCTGTTGTTAACAGAATGTAATTTAAATCATTAAGTGTGGCCTCAACTACATAAGGACAAAAATATCTAGCTTCTAGTGCCTGCCCTCGTATCGGCAAAAGCACAAGCACTTTGTCCCCTGAAGCAAACTGTCTGAATTTTGACTTTTTGTCATACCAAACTTTCATTTTAGAATGTGAATCTTTTAAATGTAATTTAGCCAAATTAACGGCGTTAAAAAAGATTAGTTTTAAATTTTAGGACATAGTCAAGAAGTCCTTCCGTGGGTGTCGATGACAACCACGTGTCTTTCTCTTGTTCTAGGCAGTAGGTTCTCATCATGTTCTTCAACGTCTGATGGAATTGCTCAAGTGCTCCTTATAACTCAGGATGATATGCACTCGACAAGCAGTGTTCTATGCCCAACTGGTTCAACACTTGTTTGAATATTCCAGCCTTGAAGTTGGTTCCTTGGTCAGACTGTATAGACTTCGGAAGACCAAACAATGTAAAAAACTTCGTCAAGGCTTTGACGATGTTCGGAGTCTTGATATTGCGAAGAGGAATAGCTTCTGGGAATCTTGTTGACGCACACATGATTGTAAGCAAATATTTGTGACCTGATTTTGTCTTTGGTAGAGGTCCAACGCAGTCTATAATAACGCGACTGAAAGATTCTTCGAATGCTGGAATGGGTTGAATAGGACCTGCTGGTATCTTCTGATTTGGTTTCCCTACCACCTGACAAGTATAACATGATCTGCAGTAGTCAACCACATCTTTCTTGATTTTGGGCCAAAAGAAGTGTGACGTGATTTTGTGATATGTCTTCTTTACTCCCAAATGGCCTGAAAGTGGTGAATCATGGGCTAGGTTCAGGATTTCGTTCCGGAATGGTGTAGGAACTACAATCTGGTGAACTATCCTCCATTCTTCGTCAGAATTTGCGTCTGGAGGTCGCCATTTTCTCAAAAGTATGTCATCTTGAAGGTAATAACATATAGGAAATTGTTCAGCTTCTTCTTGGGTCAAAGCGTTCTCTCGAAGTGTGACTATTTCTGGATCACTCTTCTGTTCTTCAATAAGTTGCATTCGAGTTGGAGTCTTGTAATTACTAGCCTCTTCATTCAAAGGTCAGGGCTTGATCACGTGATTCACGAAGTAGGACAGGAAAATTACAAATTTTGCTAGACATTACCGGCGATCGAACGGTTCAGTTGCCTTTGTAATTTTCTTTGTGATCATAAGCTATATTTATCTTTGACCCCGAAATCACCATCTTTCCAACCATAGGGATTGGGCGATTACAAATACTCATTACAAAGGGGTAAAAACACAAAAAATAGGACAATTTTGACATTTTTCTGATTGATAGGGTCAGGAAATGTGCAATTTATTATATTTTCTAACTTACTTTTGTAAAAACAAATATAAAAATGTAATAGAGAAATGGTTAATAAAGCGAAATAACTAATAATAATAAATTTTTTAAAATTTGCCATTTTCGTCAATTAATCACCCGCACCTCCCATTAATATCAAACTCGTCATTTTAGACACTCCTCGTCATTTCAATATCAACCTTGTCATTTCAAAATGTTTCTCGTCATTTCAAAATGATTCTCGTCATCTCAATATCAAACTCGTCATTCAAGATAACCCTGTCGTTTCAATATGAACCTCGTCATTTCAAATTACTCCTCGTCGTTTCAATATTAATCTCGTCATTTTAAGTTGCTCCTCGTCATTTCAATGTCAACCTCGTCATTTCAAGATACTGCTCGTCATTTTAATATTAATCTCGTCATTTAAAATCAACCTCGTCATTTCTTGATGATCCTTGTCATTTCAATATCAACTTCGTTATTTCAAGATGATTCTCGTCATTTCAATATCAACCTCGTCATTTCAATAGCAACCTCATCATTTTAGGCACTTTTCGTCATTTCAATATCAACCTCATCATTTCAATATCAACCTCGTCATTTTAGACACTCCTCCTTATTTCAATATCAACCTCGTCATTTTAGACACTCTTCGTCATTTGAAAATCAAACTCGTCATCTCAATATCAACCTCGTCATTTTAAAATGATTCTCGTCATTTCAATATCAAACTCGTCATTCAAGATAATCCTCGTCATTTCAATATCAACCTCTTCATTTCAATATTAACCTCGTCATTTCAATAATAACCTCATCATTTCAATATCAATCTCGTCATTTCAAGATTCTCTTCCTCATTTTAATATCAACCTCGTCATTTCAAGATGCTCTTCGTCATTTCAATGTCAATCTCGTAATTTCAGATTAATCCTTTTCATTTCAAGAATCTTCTCGTCATTTCAATATCAACCCCGTCATTTTAAGATGATCCTCGTCATTGCAATATCAACCTCGTCATTTCAATATTATCCTCGTCATTTCAATATCAACATCGTCATATCAACCTCCTAATTTCACTATCAACAGCATTATTTCAAGATGCTCCTCGTCATTTCAATGTCAACCTCGTCATTTCAAATTAGTCCTCGTCATTTCAATATTAACCTCGTCATTTAAAAATCAACCTCGTCATTTCTTGATTATCCTTGTCATTTCAATATCAACAACGTCATTTCAATATTAACCTCGTCATTTCAATATAAACCTCATAATTTCAAGACACTCCTCATCATTTCAATAGCAACCTCGAAATTTCAAAATCAGTCTCGTCATTTCAATATTAACCCAGTCAATTCAAATTACTCCAGGTCATTTCAATATTAACCTCGTTTTTTCAACCTGGTAATTAGAAATGACGAGATTGATATTGAAATGACGTGATAAATTTTGAAATGACGAGATTGATATTGAAATGACGAGATAAATTTTGAAACGACGGGGAGTAATTTGAAATGACGAGGTCGATATTGAAATGACGAGGTTGATATTGAAATGACGAGGAGTGTCTAAAATGACGAGGTTGATATTGAAATGACGA